GCATTGTGCTGCTGCTGAAGCCATGACAGGCTCATTTGTTCGCTCAGGATCCAAAATTACCACAATGCACTTGGAAGCCCTCTCAGGCATGCATCAACTTCTCTAAGTGGGCTAGCCTTGGGAAATGGAGGGGGGAATGAAATTATTGCTTTTGAACACACACACACACACACACACACACACACACACACACACACACATAATTATTTATTGTTGTTGTTGATGGTAGTGGAGGTTGTGTGTGTGCATGTGTGTGTGTGCACGCGCGCGCGCGCATGTGCACAAGTGTATGATGAGGGAGGAGTGTGCATATGCCATACCATACACGGGAGGTCAGAGGACCACTTTTTGGAATTGTCTCTCCATTTTTAAGTGTGCTTCAGGTATTGAACTCAGATCTCTAGGATTGCTCAACAACTGCCCCTACCCACTGGGCCATCTGGCCAGCTGCAGACACTGCTCTTGATGTATTTAGTACTGAATTTGCAAATACAGTCCCAACAGCCTTGTCTTGGCCATTTTGAACATACAAAGATGATTATTAGATATAATTGAAATAATCCTATATCTGCAATGCAGTCATAGCTTGCACATTTACATTCCTTAGAACAAGCGCACCTTGAAGCACCAAGTCAGCTTGGCATCTCAGTGCCATCTAACCGGGGAGGGGGCATTGCTCCGAAAGCATGGGACATGAAGGGTAGAGCAGAAACACCGAGAGGCTCCTGACAGCCCTTCTGCTACAGACACCCATGTTGGTGGGAAGCCCCAGAGTGAGATCTTGTGGGGCAGCGTTATGGGATCAGGGTCGCCCTTGTACCCCTTCCTATTTACCTGGATGCCTGCAGGAGAGGATCTGTTTTTCATCAGCAGCCTCCAACACACATATCACAGTGAACGTGCGGTGAGTTAGGATGTCGTGCTCCCGAACTGCTGCGAGAACAATGATGTTTCTATACATGTGTTTGTCAATGGTTATCCCTGAATCTCCGATATCCAGTCCCACTTAAAATATGAAGCTTCAGGAAGGAGGCAGAGGAGTGAGGACAGGGTGTCTGTTTTCTGAAGACACAACGATCACACAATCAAATGAGGATGAATTAGTCAACCCAAAATTATATGTGAAATGAAGCGGGAACACCTTCCTTATGATTCATTTCTTAAATGTCCACGAGATCCTAGGCTGTATTAATGTAAAATTACTCAGTACCAGTACCCTGATAACACAGTACTGAACTTGGTCATGGACTGACTCAGCCAAACCCTGTCCACATGGCAGTGCACCTGCAGTACCTGCTAACTGGGGATTACACCCTGGCTTCCAGACAGCTGCAGTCCTGCATAGCCCTGGGATGCCCTAGCCTCCTTCGGCATTCTTAAAGGTCTTCTGCGTGCTGGGTCCTCTCTGACCACAGCCCTGCTAGCTTCCTGCAAAGAGACCAAGTAACACCGGAAAGGTCAGCGTAAAGGGCACTTGGTCTCAATCTGCTGACAGAGCCTGTGCTCTTGAAAACAGGGAAGTGGGGACAAAGAGAGGCCACTGAGTGCCCTCAGAACCAGCTTGACTGCATTGCACACCTCATTCACGCACCTTTAAAAAGCATTTCGCACTTTATTGTTGTTGTACCGATTCCTTGACATGGCTTTTCTTCATAACATTTAAAAAATACTGTACTTCAGAAAGAGGAAAACCAAACACTAAGCACTGAGCGTGAAGGCCGTCCACTTACTTCCTCGCCATGAAGGCGTTTGCTCCCCCTCCTCAGCCTCTGCTTGTGTTCTGTGCCTGCCACACAGTTACCTGGCAGATGGATTGGATCACAACAGTATTTCACCATTCGGTAGCTGGTTTGGTTTCAGCTTTATTTTTATTTCTCGTGGTATACACAAATTCCTAGCAAGGTAACTGGCTAAAGCCAACCACAGGCAAAAGCTGTGTGGTTGAGTTTGTGTGAGGTGACATTAATATTCTATATGTTAATGTGTAGGAAATACTGTACAAAACAGTATACTTGTTATAGACCTTAAATTTTAACTTAATGGAAACAAATACTATCATTGTCTCAATTTGTGAAAGATGTTAAACATCACACAACACAGTAAAAGACTTTCTTTTATAAGGCTCCTAGTGCCAAAATCTGTATTTATTTTCATGGCTACATATCCAAGAAATGAATTGTGTTTATCATCTCTGGGCACACACAGTCTTTCTTGTGCACAGGAATCATACTCTGTGCTGGAATCACTCTGAGGACTGACTAAAGCTATTCTTTCATGTTGTTTTGACTCTTTTCACAATAGACTTCTGTCCCAGCAACTGAATCAATGACGTGGAAAACCACAAATCCACGTTGATTGATAATGAAGGCTGTAAAAAGTGGCTTACCCAAGCACAGCCTGTGTTCCCTCACTCTCGTGCAGATCTCAAATTAAACTGGTTGAGGCTCCACAAACAGCACTTATATTTGATCTTAACTACTCTGAACCTTCGGCTGCCTGATCTACCGTTTGTAGACTAGAAAAGATACTTTGAAAAAAATAAACAGGAATACACTAGAAGGAAATGATGGAAACCAGTTGTCTGGAGTAATGGAATATTGTGGTATCAGAACCAGTCCTTGTTTGTTACTTAAGAGATGGGGTTTTGAAATGCAGGGATGCATGCTTATTGAACCACTACTATAATCCATAATTGAGAAGTCAGCAGACTATGACATGTGGGCAATTACACTATTTTTTATAAAGAAAACTTTATTGAAACTGTGCTCCTTTGTTACCATATGGTCTCTAGCTGCTTTCATGATACAATTTTAGAGTTTATTAATTACAGCGTAAGATTTTATGGTCCTTAACTTTGAAATAAAGTAGTTACTACCTAATCCTTTGCAGAAAAAGCCGACCAATCCTTCCTCAAAATTGAAATAGGCATCACAAAAACTGCAATTACTTTATGTGCCTCTAACAAAGAAAACAATGCCAGCTAACCTATAACTATCCACCAGTTTCAAGAAGCAGCTTCAGTTTAGAAGTTTCAAATGTGGAAAAATGCATATGAGAATTGAAAAGCTATGGTAGATAACATCTCACTTAAACGATCAACAGTACATGTGTCCACATGGATTAGGCTCAGATGCTTATGTTTAAAAGGTGGGGGGGGGGGTTTGAGGGTAGAGATAGAAGAGTTTGAAAAATGTCATCATTGGCCTGACTTATGAGGTCTTAAAAGCCCACAGTCATATATCGTAATTTCTATGGTTGCAGATATATACGGACAGTGAAGTATTTAAGTATATCTGACACGAAAGTAGGTATGAAATTGTGAAGGGGAACAGAGGGGACTTAGACGCAGGAGGAGGTTTAGACACAAAGGAGAAGGTGGGTGCAGGAGAGACGAACTCATCACACAGTGTATAGCTGTGTGCAAGGGGACCAATGTAGCCCAGTGCCGTGGAGAGACGAACTCATCACACAGTGTATAGCCATGTGTAAGGGGACCAATGTAGCCCAGTGCCATGGACGATGAATACAAAACAGCAAAAAGTTTTAATCAGAAAGATCTAGAGAAAACGGACGGTGGCTTTTCTCTGAGAAGAGGACAAAGGATCAAGGCGATGATACAAGAGCAAAGGGGCCTGTGTATCTGTAGCGCTCAGCTCCTAAAAGAGCTGATTTGCTGATGAAAACTTTTTTGCGTTTATCTTCTGTGGGGGTGACATCTGTGTGTGGGTGTGCATGCCTGCACCATGGCATGATCATGAAGCCAGAGGGAAAACATACATGAGCAGTTTCTCTCCGTTCACCATGTGGATTCCAAGGTTCTAACTGGGGCTCTCAGGCTTGGTAGGAAACGCTTTTGCCGGCCAAGCCGCCTCACTGCCTTCATTCCTCTCCAAAACTAATTTTAATTTTGAGTTTTAAATCCATGTAGAATAACTAGTCATAAACACATTAAGGCATCTCAAAACAAAAACATCAAAATGGGAAAACCTGAAAGGGGGGGCGGGGAGACAGAATGTCAGTAATGGTAAATGTGTCTTGTAAAAACAGACGATTGTTTCTTCAGCCCTATTTCATTATAATTTCAGAGAACTTCATGGGTTGCTAATAAAAAGATGAGTCATGTTCTTTCTGTCTCAATCAAAAGAGATTAAGGTTTGAAAAAGGTACATGTAAATGAATTACCTGACATTACAAACTAATCCTGTTTTTCTACTGGGCATTAAAACGAAACAACATGCAAGTCTGGGCCAAACTTCGTAGTTAAAGTCTTTTTTTCTCATAATAGTAGTACAGCTAATCTTTAAAGACAATGTGCTTTATTCCTCACCTCAGAAAAAAACCACCAGGTAATACGAAAGTTAAATATCAAGTGCCTTTCTCTGCACAGAAACTGCTTGTCGTGAGTCACCATGTTGATGCACCGATGCTATTTTTTTTTCCACCTTGACCTCAGTTGTTTTGAAATGTGCACTGTGGTTTTGCAGGGTTGTATAAGGCCGCATACGGTTCAGATGCCCCTCTTATTAAATATGTTCCTATTGATGTTGTCTAGAGCAGAGCTTCCTAAAACATTCTCAGGAAAGACTAGACATTCAAAGCTGCACTGTTAACGTAAGGGAGACTTGCGTCCTTGTTTGGGTTTGTTGCATTCGATTGGCTTGGTGGGTTTGGATTTTCAGAAACTGGTTTTATTCCATGGCCAAGGCTGACCTCCGGCTCTGACTCCTCCTGCCTCAGCCTCTCACATGCTGAGGTCACACGCCTGTATCGCTGTGCCTTGTGTGCTGCTGTGAGCATTGCCTTTCTCTCCCTGGAGCTCTTTACCCAAGAAGAGCCCTGCTGCTTTCTTTAGCTATTGAGACACATCCAGGAGCTGAGAGCAGGGTGTATGGTCATGGAGACCATGAGGCTGCAGAGTCCAAGACCACGTTCTCAGCCTGCTAAGGGCCCAGCTGTAGGGCTGTGCTTCTCACCATGTAACGGCTCTCTTTCTTTTTCAGTTCAATCTCACCATTTAGTATTGAGAGCACAAGACGCCAGAGACGATCAGAATCCCCGGACTCCAGGAAGCGGCGCATCCACAGATGTGACTTCGAAGGATGCAACAAAGTATACACAAAAAGTTCCCACCTGAAGGCACACCGGAGAACACACACAGGTACAGCTCCCATGGGCTTCTCAGTGGGGGTCAGGGGGAGTGAGGAACAATGGCAGCTCACCCAGTCATTAGTCTATGACTGGCATGTTTAGAATTTAGTTCATTCCTTCTGTCTTGCATACATGTTTTAAATGCTGTGAACAGAATGAGCTAATCATCTTTCTGGTAATCAACTTAGCTACCTAATAATTATGTAATTTATTGAGTTTAAAAATATTCACAGGGCACCTCCAACAGTAAGCTGAACAAAATTCTTCTTCCCGTCCTTCAAGTAAACACCTAACCTACCACCATCATTAGGTCACCTGTGTTCTGTTTTCAATACTGTTCCTTGTAAGCATCAGAGAAATAAACTTAAAACTCAAAATTTGTATGCACAAAGCACTGAAATGTTTTTAAAACCAGTTCCGTAAGATCCAGTTTAATTCTCCCTAATGGTTGTTGCATAAGGAGGGAATTTTCAATAGTAGAGAAAAGAAATTGATACAAGTTAATTCACAAGTTTGCAACAATTCAACTATCCATCCTTCTGTTCCCCTCTGCTCCACCCATTTAGAAAGCCCTGCTTGTCATTATTAGCCACTGTCCAGTGTCTTTTTCTGTGCTGTGTAACGGTTAGCTGGCATCTTTTGGGTTTCTTCTGAATCCCCTTAATGGGAGCTATTGGCAAGGAATGGAGGACAGGAGAAGCAGCCACTATCACTCTGCCTTCCCCAGACAAGTGACTGGTGACTAGAGTCAGTGACACACAAAGAAGCAGATGAACCAGGGAGACAGCCATGGGCTTCGCTGCTGACACAGGCCACGAACAAGCAAGTCCTGTCCAGTGCCTACCGTTGACACAGAGCAGACTCCAGCATCGTTCTCTCATGGGAAACTTCAAATATAATAGATTCCTGTGTGCCTTTGTAAAAGTGCTCTCCATCCTATCAAAATAACCATGCAAGGCAGTCACTCCCCAGACTATGTAATAAAATCATTTAAACTGTCCTTCTTTGCTTTTTCTTTAGCCCGTGTTACTACATCAGTTTGCAAAGACGTGAACCAGAAGCACTAATCAGGCCTGCTATCGGCAGGGGCTGAAAATGGGTGCAACATGCTCTAAGTTCATGAGTTTAATCAGAGTCACCCCAGTATTATGCTCATGAGCACATCTTGTCATGCTGGTTGTTACTGGGGCTCACTGAGTTTACAGATGAGTAAAACTGTTGATGACCCGCCCTGCATAGCACCTTCCAGTACTGTGACAGCTAGCCAACAGGAAGTAAGTTTCCTGGTCAGTTCCAGCTTGTTTGCTCCATACCGTGTGACCAAAGTATGTGATGACTTTGGCAATGGGGTCTTACTATCAACCAAAAACAATGGCAAAAGCTTGTATTGTTTTGGTGGCCTCTGGGACACCCATGATCAACTCGAGAAAAATCCCTCCCATACCTGGCACTGCACTCTATATTTGGCAGCCTGTGACTTCAGGGAGAAGTAGCATCTCATGTGGAAGGCAAGTTCAATTAAACAGGAGGCAACTAAGGGAAATGGCAATTGCCTGTCCTGCTTTATGGGTCTTTTGGATGCTTCTGACCAATACCCATTGCCTGGTCCCTTAGTTTTTGATTTCTGATTGCCTCTTCCGTGCTTCCCCTCTGCTCCCAATCCCTTGCCCCCTTCCTTCTTAACTCTGCTCTTCCCTGTCCTTTGGTTGTGAACTTCCTCATGAGAAGCTTTCACCTGTTTCTCAGGCACTACTTCTAGTTTTGTGGTTTGTTTATTTAGTTTCTGCAGTCCTGGGAATTGAATCCACGGCATTGCACGTGCTACTGAGAGATGGACCACTGAGTTCCACCCTCAGCCCACTGGACAATTTTTAAATCACCTGCTTCATCATTAAGCCAAAGAAATGAGCATAAAGACATGAAAGTCCACCAGTATCTTCTATTAGCAGATAATAAACACAAATAATAGCAGAAAGTGTCATTGGGCCATGTCACTGATTGTTATGGGGCAATTTCTACATGCACATACACAAATTGTCTTCAGTGAATCAGCACATCTGTTGAGCTGTTCCCATTCTCCTTGAGCTTTCTGGAATATATATTAGCCTCATTTTCACACGGACTACTTATTCAACGGAACGCAGTGAAAGAGGGGAGGATTTTTAATCACATATGATTAAAGGACTTACTTCCCCAGCACTATTGGATTTCATCTTACAGGTTGTAACATACACTAAGCGAGTAGAAGAGCTGTCATTTATTCACTACAATTCAAAGCAACATAAACCTTGAATGCTGCAGCTGGATTAATGAGCTTGACTTCTTAAAAAGATGACCTCATAGACTTGGAAGGTCACAGTGGCCTTAGCCGTAACAGCACAGAGTATGTTTTCTAATTAGAGGGAGCCCTTGCCCGTCACCTCTCACAGGAGCAAGCCACTGCTCTGCTGGTCTCTGCACACTTGCACACCTTTTGTCCTGTTCGGTCTGCATAGTGACCTGGGAGCTGCAGCTGTTGAGATTCTTTTTCACTGCTGCCCCAACACCACGGCTCCCACGGCTCCTTATAAATGTGCAGTCACAGCTTGTTTGTCACCTAGACATTGGGTGCAGTTTGAAGACAGACTCCTGCTCTCTGGCAGCTTGCATCCGTCCCTTGTGGTACAGTTTGGGGCATCCAGATGAATGGGAATCCCTCGAATGATCATACATTTGCTGACACTGGCTGGTTCTAATGGTCTTCTCGACTCCACCGTGAGCCACAGCATCTTCTGATCCTCAAATCAGACACTTCCCATTTTGTCAGTCATGCCTTGTCACACTGACGTAAGGTTTGTGGTCCTTATATGTTGAGGAAAAAGATCTTTATGAACTTTTCTTAACATGTACAATATACATTTAAGTCTTCTGGGAGTTAACTCTGTAGGGCCATCTCAATCAAGAAATGCTGCCAGCTAGATCTAGTGCATCCATTGTAGTAGACACTGATTTCTTTCTGCTAGGCTTGTAATGCTGGAGCTGTCCCTGAAATGGCTGCCTTGGAAGTGGTGTTAAGGCAACATCTGGAGACAAAAGACAAACTTGCTAGTCGGGGAGTTTTTATATACTTTTTCCAATCTAGAAACTAAGTATTATAAGCCCACTGTAGTGACTTAATTTTAATGTGTTGAACTCAATAAGCTGGAAGGTATTGGTGAAATTACTAAGGCCACTCCACATAGTTAAAAGAAAGATTTATTTAGTGGGTAACTTACAAAAAAAGGGAAAGGTAGGTCGTGGGGTCTGGGGAAGGTGTATCGAAGTCTAGCGGTGTTCTCTGGAGCTCTGCTCAGTCAACCTCCACTGTCTAGGGTACAGAAACAGAGAGAGAGAGAGAGAGAGAGAGAGAGAGAGAGAGAGAGAGCCCATCCAGATCTCGGGTCTCTCAGCGGGCGCCTCCCTTGGCCCCGCCTCGTAGGCATGACAGTTGCCGAAGCCTCAATGGGGGTTGGAATTTCCAGATCAAAGCTGGAATGGCTGCCTACTACAAGAAGGGTCTGAATGGTCTTTCTCCCCAACCATCTCTCCAGTTTCTCCATCTTTGCCAGTTAATTGATAGGTAGACTGATCATGACAAATGCCAAGAAAATGCCCTGAGCTGTAATCCTAGAGCCCTCCGTAGGGCAGGCTGTTACCTCTTTTAATTAGCTAGCTATGCTGCCCCAAAGCATCAAAAGTATCTCTGCTCGATTTCTGCTTAAAGCCCAAAACATATCAAATCCGTTCACCCACTTAGTAGAAAATTGGTGATAGCCAGCCCTCTGCATCGGAAAGGTCTGCTTCTGTGCAGTCGGCTAGCCCTGGGTTGTCCTCAACCTCTGTGGGCTGTCTCTTGTCAGCACTCTCTCGGCAGAATGTATAGCAGCTATGGGAAGTATTTGCATTGTATCAGGTATTGTAAAGAGTTAGATCTTATCGGAGGTGTACAGGCAGATGTGTGGAGGTGAAATGCAAATGTTTCACTGGTTTCTATCTTACATCTTGATCCTGAGTTTTGTTATCTAAGGGGGCTGGGGCTGGGGCATGAGCCAGTTCCCTGGTACTAAGGGACCACTTTAGTCTGCAGTTATAGTCTTAATTGTCAAATAGAGAGAAAGAAGAAAATTTGGTTGACTTGTTGGAACTGGTGTCAAGTGATCCTAGGCTAGCTTATAATTTATAATTATACACAGGATTTCATAACTCGGTGAGTAAAATGTCATCAACACTGGTTCTATAGAAATTCAGGCTGGCTTGCATGCTTTTCATAAACATCTTCTTAGCCTTACCTTTGCTTCAGGCATGTTGAGTAAGATCCTTATGTGTGACCAATAATACTTAATGTGGAGTTTGGGATTATAACAGATGACTTATGAAATCCAAGCACGCTATGGGAGGGAGTGAGCAAGCTGCAATGAGAAACTTGAAGAATGTCACAGTAATTTTCCTGTTAATACTTAAACTTTCTGCACTTTATTAGTGCCTGATCAGTTGTGAATTTCCTCAGGACTTAAAGATGTAAACACTTGTAGGGATACAGAAGAAAAAAAAAAACCTTTCAAGATAATTAGCAATAAACACACAGTTAAAGAAGTATTTGGAGGTGGACATTACAATTCAAAAATAATCAACTATATTTTGTTATTGTGCCGAGTAGGTGAAAACACAGATATGTTAGCAGTTATTTTCAAATGCTGTCATTGAAGCCACACCTGTGGAGGCTGCATTGTTAAAGAAACATTACAGAGGAGAACATGCAGCTCGAACCACATCACACATTCACCAGCAGCCCTGTGGTCCATATCTTCTCCTCTGTATTTATATCTTCCACCCAATGAGGTGTGCAGTGTGTTTCAATGAAAATGCAGATTTAAGTTCATGGGGTCCTATTTGTGCTATGAATAACTACTGTTGGTTTTCTTCACTTAATGATCGTGCATGCTATACTAAATTATCTAAGTATGTATTTTAAAAGAAGATATGGGTATTGTT